AACCTAGACAGCTGTGGAGTTGGAGTCATGATAGAGTAGCTAATAACAGTTGATAATACCTGGAAAGTCTAGCTTCATACTTGACTGAGAACCTCACAGTTCTGTCACTACTCAGTTCATTTTGTGGTGTGCATTGGGATAGGCTATTAAAAAATATTCTGCTTGGATTTCATGTATTCTGTTACAAATTATGAACTCACGGTGTTACACAGTGACTGGAGGGCTCTGTAAGTTGTTTAGGGAGAATAAGGGACAGAGATATGATGCTTCCTCTTTTCTAAAGGCTCCAACCCCTAACCTGTTCCTTTTCTACTGTTCCCCTTGAAAACAGAGGCCCTCCTGGTCGAATGCTTTGTTCTAAAGGTGTGATCATGTAGAGGTGATCACTTTAACTTAAAATTCGTTGAATTGATGGCCATAAATGTATGTCTTGTTTTCCCCCTCACATGTTAATTGTCCTGATTCACAACCAGTATTTAAAGTTACAGAATTGCTTGCTCAATGCCTCTCCTTTTGAGTTTTCACAGGCTGTAGGACTTGCCTGGTTCCTCCTCTGCTCGAATGATTTTGAATTGACTGCTTTAGAGCACAGACCTTAGCTGGGGACGCTCCTCACTGGCTTCCAGGTATGTGCTGGGAGGTGGACAAGCTATTGTTGGTAGAGATGCGTCTTGGGGCTAGTTGTCCTGGTAGTAAAGCTGTATGTGTTGCAGGTCTTCATTCTTGGGATCAGAGAGTCAGAGAGGTGCTGGTTTTTCTGCTTCTTTCTTTCTTTTTTTAAAAACTTTTATTTTAGGTTTGGGAGTACATGTGCAGGTTTGTTATATAGGTAAATTGCATGCCAATGGGGTTTGATGTACAAATTACTTTGTCACCCAGGTAGTAAGCACAGTACCCAGTAGGTAGTTTTTGATTCTCATGCTTCTCCCATTCTTCACCCTCAAGTAGGCCCAGTGTCTGTTGTTCCTTCTTTGTGTCTGTACGTACTCAGTGTTTGGCTCCCACTTATTAGTGAGAACTTGTGGCATTTGTTTTTCTGTTTCTGTATGAGTTCCCTTAAAATAATGGCCTCCAGCTCCATCCGTGTCTCTGCAAAGGACATGATCTTGTTCTTTGTAACGGCTGCATAGTATTCCATACTGTGTATGTACCACATTTTCTTTATTTAGATCGTTCTGCTACTTTCTAGCATTATAATTATGAACAACTAAAGGCCTTCTCTGAGTCCTTGTTTTCTTATTCATTGTATTGAGATAATAATGTCTCTCTGACTTATCAGAACTGTTACATATTAGGTCCTCAAAAAATGTTGATTGTATCTAAATGCAGGTCATATAGTTGGACTGTAAGCCCCTACTGCATGAGGCATCATGAATGTGGGGACAATGGCAGTCCCCTTGACTAAAGGCTCTAACCCTAACCTATAGCTTTCCCACTGATCCCCTCGAAAGGAGAGATCCTCATGGTGGAATGCTTTGTTCTAAAGGAATGATAATGTAGAGATAGTCACTTTAATTTAAAATTCACTGAGTCGATGTGTACTCAATAGTGGACACTTGATAAATATAGTAGGCCCTTGATAAATAATTGTTCAACAAATGCATGTCTGGACTGTTATTTTAGTATAATACTGAAGGGTGTTAGAGTTTTGCTTGAGTTGAAGATCTAATCAAAACATACATTTTATTTATTTATTTATTTAATTGAGACAGAGTCTTGCTCTGTTGCCCAGGCTGGAGTGCAGAGACATGATCTCGGGCTCACTGCACCCTCTGCCTCCTGGGTTCAAGTGATTCTCCTGCCTCAGCCTCATGAGGCAGGGATTACAGCCTCCTGTAATCCATAAAACCTGGCTAATTTTTGTATTTTTAGTAGAGACTAGGTTTTGCCATGTTGGCCAGACTGGTCTCAAACTCCTGACCTCAAGTGATCCTCTGGCCTTGGCCTCCCAATGTACTGGGATTACAGGTGAGAGCCACTGCACCTGGCCAAAATGTACATTTTAGATTTAAGAAATTATGTTTCTTGTCAGCATATTATACTATCTATTCTATGTCAATAGAGGTTATATATCTAAGGATATAAAAACTTCATAGGTTTTGAAAACCATTGTATTTCATCATTTAAAGCAGGGATCAGCAAACTTTTCAGTAAAGGGGCAGATAGTAAATATTTGCAGCTTTGCAAGCCGTGCAATTTATTCTCCACTACCACTATTAACTCTGTCATTGTAGAGCAAACGCAGTCAGAGAAAGTAATAAGTGAATGGAGATGCTTTGTTCCAGTAAAACTTTATTTACAAAAACAGGCAGAAGGCTGATTGGCCTGCAGGCCGCAGTTTATAAGCCATGAGTTGAAGGATGAAGCCCTGATTTACAATTTTGGAAGAAATAGATATGTTATAAAGATTTGGCTAGGAAATTTAAAAAAGTTTTGTGCAGTACTAATTCTATGTAATTATATTAACAACATAAATGTAAACACATAAGAGCTTGGAAAACCATATTATTATTTTTATTTTTTTTTATGGGTGAGAAATTTGAAGTTTTCATGACGTAGCTGCCTGAGGGTTCAGGCTAGTAAGATTTAGCCCAGGGTCTGGTTCTTCTGATTGTAAGTTTACCGCTTTGTCTGTGCGATCTCTGCTGTCTCATAGCTTTGCCCGTCTTTGATCCCTGTGTCTCTGTCATATTGGGGTGAACAGATGACATATTTTCAATCCTGAACGCTTCAGTTTTGAAGCTGAAAGAACTAAGGGCTTTTATGAGAGTGGTAATTGATATATTAAGGGTGATTACAAGTTTTGAAATGAGTTTATTGTGTTTTAGTCTTTATTATTGTTGCTATTTGTTGTTTTAATAGATTTTTTCCTCTTATACAAGACTTAAATTTGGAGGTTAAAAGGTGAACATCAGGAAAACTGTCTGCTTTAGATAAATGATGCATTTTTCATTTGGTGGAAAGTGTCTATGCTGATATTTTTCCTACAAACATGTTTTGTTTTTTCAATATTGTGTTGTAAAATTAAATGTCAAAAAGCTTCTTTGTAATATTTCAAAAATACTGCCTTTATCAATAGGGGAATATTAATCATATCATTTTGCATCATAAGCTGGCAAAAACTCTGATCGTTGAATCATTCTGGCATCCTTCAATTTTTAATTCCAGGCAAAAAGCCTAATTGCTGAAAAGTTTATTGATTGGCTCATAACTCCTACTGAGTTGTAACATATCTAGGAGGAATCCTCTAATTCTGTGCTTGATGAAGTAAGCATTATTTTTACAGGCTGTTGACATAGAACTTTTTTTTCAATGGCTTGCCTTGAATAACACTGTCAGGCTAGTCGACCTCCAAAATTCTTTCAAACCCTAGTGTCATTCTCTGGCACTTGAAGTCACCGCTACTAGAGAGGCTCACTTTCTTCACTCATTCAATGATATATTATGTGTGTAAAGCACCAAACGCAGCTTGGCATTTAGTAAGTGCTCAAGAAACACTCATCCCTTTGTTAGTGATTTATCAAGCTACCTTAATGTTTAGCTACATTCAGTGTCAGATTTCATCATCACTTACTGAGCAATCGCACCACACCAATTTTTTAGGCTTGTAGAGCACAGACATCTGTGGTTAGATGTTTGTTGAATTATTTGAAAGGATAAACAGATGCAACCCTAGATTAAAGATATTCAAACAAGTTTATAATCTTCTCAGGTACCCAGAGGCCCAGTGAAATTTGAATATCAGCCCCAATAGTAAAAGAGGTGACACCTGCATCCAGGGAGCCAGGCAAAAACCCATCCTGTTCTGAAAGTAAATGGATACCCTTTTGGAAAGGCTATGATGGGCAACATGAAGTAGTGATCAATGACATAAGATATTAAATGATTCACATGTTAAAATTTCCCAACCTCTTGCAAATCATAACCAATGACTAGACTGGTTTTTAGAATTTTGTGGAAGAATTTAGGAAAAAGAATAATTATTTTCAAATGATCGTGGAGTAAAGAAAACTAACAGCACATTTCTTTTCTATGCTTACTATTGAGAATTGAGAAAAACTCTGGATGCTTAGTCACCAATTTCCACTGGTCAATATCTTATAAAGTGTTTTTTACTTGTTTTATTTACACTCTAGCTACATAAGTAGCTTATATTTTCCATAGAGGCAATCTCTCTATTTTAAAAAGTCTTCTTCTGAATTTCTCTGTGCCTAATATATTTGTAGGGTCATGGTTCAGATAATACTGTCTGATAACAAGTTAGAAAAGGAAGACAAAGGGCTCAATAGCACAACCAGGTCAGAGAGGAGTTTTCATTTTGTCCTTAAGTTATGTTGGTTTCTGGAGTTTCACTCTTCCTAGTTCTCTCTTAGTTGTTCCAAACTTTTTGCCCTGTCCACTGACCCTCATGTTTACAGTCAGTAACATAACAGGATTGCAGAGTGCTAGAACCAAAAGTAACATCAGAACATGCTTTGGCTAAATTTAAAATGTTTTGTGTTTTAAGTTGTAAAATATGTTTGTCAATAATAAAATAATTCTCATCTCTATGACACACCTGCTGCAGGAAAACAAAGACTTTGAAATAGCTTAAAACACATTTTGCAAATCCTATGTAATATCTTAGAAAATTTTAGAATAATATGAAAATTCAAATGTAAGAGATCATCCAAGACAAGGTGTATATGAAGTAAAATACATTTCTGCTTCATGTTCTTCTAGTATAGAAATTCGAATTGAAACATGTGAGCCAAGTATTGTTTTGAGGGCTCTATAAATCAGAAAGAGCAAAGAAAATATAAGCACATTAAGATAAATATTCAATTTAGCTGAAAGCATAGCATTTGTTTTAAAAAGCATACGCCACTTTTTTTCTTTTCTCTTCCCTTTAATCTATCAATGATGATTTTACTCTGGATTCCAAAATGGCATTGGAAAAATGCCATAGAGGGAGGGGCAAAGTTGATATATTTCCATTCCTGGCAGGGTGTGGATGGAAGCTTACCTGACTAGCTGTTAGCAGCAACTCTGAAGGAAAGAAGGTAAATGCTCGAATTGCCTGATAATTTTTAACAATAAACACTGCATAAAGAATAGAAACCCAAAAAAGATGTGATTAAAATAGAAGGACATAGTTTTAAAAATATTCAGTCAAATACTTAAGAAAAAGAGAGTTAGTTTTATGATTTTGGAATTTCTGCAGATGTGGCAGTCCTCACTGGGAGATATTAACATCTGTCACCTCTCTCAGCCCCAACCACCTGGTCAGATGCCTGATGTGTATGATTGAGTTTTAAAAAATGTAGATGTTTGAATAATTTTAAACTTTTGCACACTTGACACATTTATTTTATATTTTATGAATTGTTTCTGAAATATAAAATGGTATAATATTTAGAATATCTATATTTTAAACAATGTGAATTTAATTTCTTTTTTTACACCATAAGTTGGAAAACACTTTTGATGGTATCTTTCATAAATATTTCTTTGTTTTGAGATATTGGTTATTATTTAGTTTGCTATAACTTGGTTTGAATATGTATTACAGCAGAATAGCATCTATTTGTGTAAAGTTGGAATTTCATTATTGAGGTGTTAGTAGCTTTGTGGGAATTATAGAAATCATAAAACATGAAATATTTTTGGAGTATAAATATTTTTCTTCTTACTATATATAGGAAAAACGGTTTCATTCAGAATATTTTGGGTTGTTAGAACATCTATCTTGTCTAAACTTTTACATTTTTACTATAAGGGAAAATTGTAATAAATGAACTTTTTCTTATATAGTAAATGAACTTTTTCTTATATGGTAGTAAATGAACTTTTTCTTATATAGTAAAACATTAACAAAAAGCTGATTCTCTTATGCAGAATCTGTTTTAATTACAGCTGCCTGTAGAATATACAAAGTTAACATGAAAAGCTAAATAATTTTCTAGCATTTCAAATATTAGGATTATCCGCAATGAAAAATGGGTAGATTATAGCAAATCAATGCACAAATATGATGAAGTGTTCTCAAGTGCTGCCGTTGTGTTCTCTACTGATGGAATACAAGGATGAATTACAAACATTGAACCTACCTTCAAGACAGTTATACTTTGGAAGTAAAGGCAGCAGTATAAAAAAATAATTACCTTACAATGTGATAGAGGAGGTAAGGGAAACAAATGCTGTGTGGGTATTGTATACAGTGGCGACTAATTAACTCCTTAGAGGGAGAGTTTGGAGGAAAGTGGAGGGAGGTTTTACGTGAGTAATAAAGCCAGAGGGAAAGAAAACAAACAAAACAGATCATGTGTTGATGCCCCAAAAGCCATAAAAAAGGGGAAAAAAAACTTAAAAAAAATTTAAAATGTTATACATTTCAGATAATTAATATTTAAAATTATCTTCAAAGTTAACGTAAGTTAAAATCTTACAGGAAAGATTTTCTTTCTTGTAAAAAATTTAAAGTAGATGAAGTTTTAAAATTAAGTTGAAAATACATTACTTTCAAGGTTTTGAAGTGATAAAAGAGAGCACCAGAAAATATTGACAATTTTAAATAAAGAAGAGTAAAAACAATTCTATACTAACAATAATAGAAAATAAATACTTGGAAAATGTTAGAGGCAAAAATATGATAGTGTCTGTATTGATACAAAAGCGAATTTTTCTCTTTTTCTTCTAAGAACTGCTTATCATCTCCTATATAGCTATGGTCAGTAGGAGGTGACACTGGGGACAGTAAATGGGAGATACTGTAAGTCACTCCCAATTAGGCTAATGTTGTTTGCAATCTTGAAATCTCAATCTATATTTATGATACGTTTCCACAGATTTTAATGCAATTTGAGAAGGATTTTTTGAGTAAATTTTCAGTCTAGAGAAGCAACCTCCATAGAGATTGTAGGAATCTTTGGAGAGCAAACTGGAGCTTGAGATGCACCTTTCAGAGAGGGAGTTCAGGGCTGTCCTGAGATGGACTCTCAGTGCTAGGAGGTTCGTTCTACAACCTTCAGTCTTGGTAAGAGACTCAGTCAAGACACGGACCTGCTGGTGGCATCTGCATCCCATAGAGCCACATGGTGCTCACTCAGGGCATGGCCTTTGTGATCCCTAGTGCTATCTTCTCTGGAGGGTGACCTGGTATAGGAGGAAAGAGGGTGGCTTTGAAATCCGACTGAATGAACTGATTTGCATAACACCTGTGTCACATAGTAGTTGGTTGTACAATGAAGATTATTTCTAAATTACAGAATTTTTTAAAAAATAGAGACAATATTTGTGAAATGCCAGGCATATCACAAGCTCAAATTAAACAGTTGCTTTTAGCACTATAATGTCATTGTGGGTAGAGTTAGCACTAATTACTTAAGCTGAATGAATTTTTGGGGACCTTACTATTTTGAGAGATTATTTCAAGTCTGTTGGAAAATAATGATGATTGAAGCAAATTGCATACAAGTTTTTCAAGTTGTAGCTTACTACGAGGCAGCCTGTGTCAGCAATTGCCTTTAGACTCAATCAAACAGTAACTTGTTTGTATGGTGGATATTTTCCAGAGTAAACACCACGTATGGCCTGTGACTGCTTGGAAGCATTCCCTAAGTGCATCTGGAGCCAAAATTTTACTGTGAAAAATTTCTATTCAATTTTTCCATATACAGTACGCTTAGCTATTGTGTTAAACACAAACTTGCAATGACTTAAAATTAACTGCCATGTTTAGTAATACATCTACAACACATTTCAAAATTAAACTATATACATATATACCTCTACACACATATTAATACATAAGTGAGTGAGAAATAAGTGTAAGTTTAATGTGTAAACAACACTCCAATCAAGAAGGGAACCAGTACCAGCTTCCTAGAAGTCTCCTTCATGCCTAGTTTACATGGTGTCCTGGAGCCAGCTTATACCAGCTCATAAGAGCTAATTCTGCATAATGCTATGCGTCTTTTCCTAACTCTGGGTACAATGGTATTTTGTTGGCAGTTTGATCTTAGTGGGGCATTTACACCATAGAAATCAGCAAACATTATGAATCATGGATTTTTGTGTTTTGAGAGTCAGTTCACTAGTCTGCTACTGTCTCTACCTGTGGCTAACCACAGTTCTCCTCACCCATGCTCAAGGGTAGCCACTCTCTTGACTTCTAAAACCACAGATTAGTTTAGTCAGTTTTGGAACTTTATGTAAGTGGAATTATACAGCATGAAAGTTTTCATGTATGATTTCTTTTTCTTTTATTTTTGAGATGAAATTTCACTCTCGTTACCCAGGCTGGAGTGCAATGGTGCGATTTTGGCTCATTGCAACCTCTAACTCTCAGAGTCAAGTGATTTTCCTGCCTCAGCCTCCCAAGTAGCTGGGATTACAGGCATGCACCAGAATGCCCAGATAATTTTGTATTTTTAGTAGAAACAGGGTTTCACCATGTTGGTCAGTCTGCATGCATGATTTCTTTTACTCAACATTATATTATGATGTGATGTGAGATCCATGCTATTTGTTTATTCAGCTGATGATGGACATTTGTGTTGTTCCTGAGATTTGGCTATTATGAAAGTGTTGCTATGAAAATATTTGTAAACATTAAAAAAATTTCTCAAGGTGATTTTGCTATATACCTTTTGAGAAATCTCTCTTACAATTACGTTTTAGTATTACAATGTTTAGATCTCCACTTTTTCTATTTCTTGCTAAGTTGATCCTGTTTTGAATACAATGGATTTGGAATTTGTGGTTTAGTCATTACTGTTTTCAAATTAGTATCCATGTTAAAAGTGTTGCTAAAATGCCAGGGGTTTGGTCTATGTCCTGTTGCTCACTGCATGAAGAGGCAATCACTGAGACAACAAGTGTTGCCAGGGAAGAAGACTTTCATCAGATGATGTCAGCCAAAGAGATGGGAGACAAATCTCAGATCAGTCTCCCACAACTTACTAAAATTGGTGGTTTATATAGTGGGGAAGGAATGTGTATTTCCTATATATAGGAAAAAAAGAATTAGGGAGGGGAAAGAAAGCAATCAAGATGAGTGAGGGTTCTGTCATCTCTTTGCATGCTGTAATGTGAATTTCAGTTGCTTGATACTCTTGGAGAGGTCTGCAGATGGGTTTCCTGAGGAAGGAATTGAGATAAGACAAATGGAAGTTTCAAGCTTTAAGACCAAGAGGATCAATTTCTTTTTCTTTTTCTTTTTTTTCTTGAGACTGAGTCTTGCTCTGTCACAAGGCTGGAGTGCCATGGCATGATCTTAGCTCACTGCAACCTTTGCCTCTTGGGTTCAAGCAATTCTCCTGCCTCACCTCAGCCTCCCAAATAGCTGGGACTACAGGTGCGCACCACCACACCCAGCTAATTTTTATATTTTTAGTACAGACAGGGTTTCACCGTGTTGGCCATGATGGTCTTTGTCTCTTGACGTTGTGACCTCATGATCTGCCCTCCTTGGCCTCCCAAAGTGCTGGGATTACAGGAGTGAGCCACGGCACCTGGCCAGGAGATCAATTTCTATGTTTATTCATAAAGACCATAAACTCACTTCTATGGAACAATTAGGCTGGTTTCAAAGGGATTTTTGTTAAGGACAAGACAACTAACCTTAAATTTCTTTTTCTTTTTAATTGCAATAACATAACATAACATAACAACATAACATAACATAACATAATGACTTTTACTAATAGTCTGAGCTTATTTTTAATAAATGAAAAAAATGTTAAAAAGCTTAACAGTATTTTTAAAGTGCTATATTTTTAAGTTGCCTGTTTGAATCTGTGTTATTAGAATAATTACATCTTAATAAGTGCTTCCTACAAAATACCTTTCCCTTTCCTATTTCATTTTTGTAAATAAATATCTTACTCTTCTATGCTTCTTAAACTCTACTCCTGAAGCTGCAAATCCATTATCTGCTCTGTTAGGTCATAGATTCCAAAAGGCAGACTGTGTCTTGTTCAGCCCATTCTTCTATATATAGTGACTAACCCAGTGGGAGAACTTCATAATTAGGTTGGCCTCAGATTTAGGCAGTTTCTAATTAAAAAACCGATTCCCACCCTGCAAAAAACCACACAACCCCTCAGAAGGTGATTAGCAGATAACATTTTAATCAAGTCATTAAATGTTCATTATTTGCTATGTTTTAGACTTGTGTGTAAAGCCAGGAAAGATCTTCCTATTAAAAGTGCTTACATGTAGTCATACAACTTTAACAGCAACTGTCCAGCTGTTTGTTCGTTTGGTTTTTTTTTTTGGTTGTCTTCTGTTACTGTTGTTCTCTCAACTCCCTTGGAAGATGAGGCAGCATTAAAGCTGCATGCAACTGTAATGAAAGCTTAGAACCAAGTAACACTCAGAAAAGGGAATTGTTGCTGGGGGGAGAGGATCGCAGTACTCCTGGAAAGTAGTTGACAAAGCTTATAGAAGCTTGATGAAGAAATGGGCAGAGAGAGTGCTGGAGTGTTCTGCAGCCCACAGAGTAAGTGTAGTGCCAGAATTAGAATGGAATATGAAAAGCTGTGTGATCTAGGAGGAAGCAGCCCTGGGCATGAGATCTTAGCCCTGCTTTGCTTCTGGCTGGCCAGCTGCATGAGCTGCATGATTGTTGCAAGTCACTTCATCTCATCTGGCCTCAGTATTTTTATCTTGCGAAGTAGGGAGTTGGCCTGCATGAGTAGTCATGTCCTTTCTACAGCAGGAAAGACTCCGATCATTTAGTTCTGGGAGTGCTCATGCCAGAAAGAAACACCTACTACTCTGATGCCAGAAGGCGGGAGGGGTGAAGCCAAGGGATTAGCTGGAACATTTGAAGAGCCAGGCTGGGATCATTCAGTCTTTCTATCCAATCCCTTCTTTTTCTTCAATATAGTCAGGCTCTAGTCTTCTTTTAATAGTGATGGCCAAATGGCCAGAATGCCCTTTACCTTCTCCTCCTTTGACGCTAAAGATTTTGATCAAACATCAACCTAAGTTATACAACCAAGATTTAAAAAAATACTAGACTACATTTCATACAAAAGTTTATCATTAATCAAAAACCCATGAAATCCCCCCAACTCAGACCATCTTTAATTTATTGTTTTTCTTTTCTTTCTTGGTTGACTTGCTACTAGATGGGTAATGTGAGCCATATGTAGAGAAAATATGTTGGACATGAAGATGTTTACCAACATATGTAAGGGTAGCTTTCTGAGATGTGAGGCATTATTGAATTTCTGGACACATCCAGGACATCCATTACTCAAAAAACACCCACCAATTAGGGCAGAATGCTCCTGAAAAAACTCTGATGTTCTATGATTACCCTCAAATTAGTATACAAATACAAAATATGTCTCAAACCCCATTCACAGATGCAAGATGAGAACTGTGAGTCAGGTACAAACTTGGCAGAAGGAAAATGTAAGACTAAAATGGGCTATTAGCTGAGTAAGGAAGAGACATACCCACATATAGTAGGCATGTGTTTGATCACCTATAATCAGTTGAGGGGCAACTTAGAAATAATAGATACAGTAGAAAGAGTACTTCGTTTTGGGCCAAATATATGCGCTATTTGATTCTGCAGCTTTCTTTTCTGAAAAAAAGAGGAAATGATCATATTTACCTTGCAGACTTGTAGGATTAAAGGTTACATATGGAAGACACTTGGCACACATTAGACACATTTTTTAAAAAGTTACATAATGTTTTAAAAAGTTACATAATGTCCTTCCAAACCAGGACAATATTCAACCCCAGGTAATACAGAGAACACCACAAAGATATTCCTCAAGAAGAGCAACCCCAAGGCACATAATCGTTAGATTCACCAGGGTTGAAACGAAGGAGAAATTACTAAGGGCATCCAGAGAGAAAGGTCAGGTTAATTACAAAGGGAAACCTATTAGACTTACAGCAGATGTCTCAGCAGAAACTCTACAAACCAGAAGAGAGTGGGGGCCGACATTCAACATCCTTAAAGAACAGAACTTTCAGCCCAGAATTTCATATCCTGCCAAACTAAGCTTCACAATTGAAGGAAAAATAAAATATTTTATGAACAAGCAAGTACTCAGAGATTTTATTACCACTAGGCTGGCTTTACAAGAGCTTCTGAAAGAAGCATTATACTTAGAAAGGAAAAGCCAGTATTAGCCTTTCTAAAAATATACCAAAAAGTAAAGAGCATCAATATAAAGAAGAATTTACATCAACAAATGACTAAAATAGCCAGTTAACATCAAATGGCAGTAACCCTAAATTTAAGTTGACTAAATCCCTCAATCAAAAGATACAGCCAAAACCTAACGGTATGCTATATCCAGACCCATTTCACATCTAAAGATACACAAAGACTTAAAACAAAGGGATGGAGAAAGATTTACCAACCAAAGGAAGAGCAAAAATAAATAAATAAATAAAAAGCAGAAGTTACAATTCTCGCATCTGATAAAATACATTTCAAAGCAACAAAGATATAGTGGTAAAAGGATCAATGCAACAATAAGAGCTAACGATCCTAACACCCAGATACGTAAGACTCATAAAGAGATTTAGACTCAACAAGATAGAAAATTGATGAGGACAACCAGGGCTTGAACTCAGATCTGGAACCAGTAAACTTAATAAATATTTATAGAGCCCTCCACTTTAAATACACAAAATATACATTCTCCACCTTAAATACACAAAATATTGATCGGCCATTATTAATACCCATTTTTAGGATAAAGCTACATTCCCATTCTCTCTCCCTCTTTTTCTCCCTCTTTCTTCCTCTCCTTCACTCCTTTCTTTTTCTTTTTAAAAAAAGTTACATAATGTTATCTTTTTGAATTAGATTTTATAGGCAAAAAAGCCTATATTAACTGGGAAAAGTATTAAAACAAAGTACACCATTCCATTCAGTGCAGAGATATTTCTTTATGTTTACGGTGTGCTGTATCTGATGGTAAAAACACAAATAAGAGGATTTACATTTCTATGTTGGAAATACACAATATCCATAGGCAAAGAGACAAAAGAAAAGGCATTTACTTTGAGAGGAATAGGTCAATGGTGAGATCTACATACTCTCTTGATACTCTGGAATAGTTTGGGTGGGGAAGACAAGATACCTGTTCTTAGGAAAGTCACCGTCTTACTTGGTTCTATGCTGTCAAAGAGGACACTGAACCTGGTGATATGGTTTGGCTCTGTGTCCCCACTCAATTCTCCTCCCACATTGCAATCCCGTAATCCCCACATGTTGAGGGAGGGACCTGGTGGGAGGTGACTGGATCATGGGGGCAGTTTCCCCTTTCTGTTCTCATGATAGTGAGTTCTCACGAGATGTGATAGTTTTGTGAGTGTTCGGCAGTTCCTCCTTTTCTTCCTCTCTCTCCTACTGTCTGGTGAAGAAAGTACTTCCTGCTTCATCTCCTTCTGCCACAATTATAAGTTTCCTGAGATCTCCCTGGCCATGTGGAACTGTGAGCCAATTAAAACTCTTTTCTTTATAAATTGCCCAGTCTCTGGTATTTCTTTGTATAGTATGAAAATGGACTAGTATACTTGGTGACATCAAAACCCCCAGCATCATTCAAATTTACTATCTCTTGAACAATATGAATGACTGAGCAAAGTGCTTCAAGTTCTGTCGTTTGCATGTGGGATGAGTCAAACAGGGGTGAGAATGTTAACAAGGGGCCATGACCCATGGGAATTTGCTGGGCCTAACCTCAGTCACAGAGCAACAAAGGGAGAGTACAGGTAAAAGATGTAAGCAGAACCAGTCACAATCCGTGGAGAAGAACGAGATGGGATAATGTTTGCTTGGCTGCTAACTTGAGCATAAAGAGTGTTAGCCTTTGGCTCCATTTTACCTGAATACAGGCAGTTCCACTACAAAGTGTGTAGGATTGTGTCCCCTAAAAACATGGCTTGTCCTAATCACTCTACCTGTGAATATGACCTTGTTTGGAAATAGGGTCTTTGGAGATTAATCGAATTAGGAGAGGTTGTACTGGCTTAGGATGGGCCTTAAGTCAATGACTGCTGTCTTTAAAAGAAGAGGGAAACTTGGATAACACATGGAAGATAAAGACAAGAATGTGAAGATCGAGGCAGAGACTTGAGTGATTTGTCTACAAGTCAAGGAACATCAAAGTTTGCTGGCAACCACCAGAAGCTGAGAGAGAGGCATGAAACAGATTTTCCCTGAGAGTCTTGAAATGAACCACATCTGTCAACATCTTGATTTTGGAAGTCTGTCCCCTAGCATTGTGGGAAAATAAACTCCTGCTGTTTAAAACACTCAGTCTGTGGTAAGTTCTTATGGCAGCCCCAGAAAACAAATTCACACTACTACATGAAAATTGATCTCTGTCTATCACTATTAATATCAACACCAATATTTACATACAGGGATGATAAAGACTTTAGTTTTCCAGTTCTTAATAGCATACTGAATAATTACATGACTGTATTTCAGGTATATAAAACGAGAATTATTTGTTCACTTATTTTCTTTCAATCACCATATCTTTCTTCTTTTTTTTGGTTTTAGATTGTTATAAGTTTTACAATGGACTCTCTTGTTGCAGCAAACACCAAATTTTGCTTTGATCTTTTCCAAGAGATAAGCAAAGGTGATCGTCATAAAAACGTATTTTTCTCTCCCCTGAGCCTCTCAGCTGCCCTTGGTATGGTCCGCCTGGGGGCTAGAAATGACAGTGCACATCAGATTGATGAGGTACGTATCCACTAGGGTGCTACACAGGGTCCTAAACTCTGGGTCCATACTCAAAAGTCAGACACTAATCCCACTCAGGCAAGCCAAGGGGCTTGCAGCACCCTGGGCTTGGTCAGAACCCATTCCTGTCTCTGAGTCTTTATTTGTATTTCCCCCACCTTACTTCCTCTTCGATCCTACCATTCTTAAAGGCTCAGTTGAAGTTCTACCTTCTTTGGGGTGCTGCCCAACCTCACGTCTGGCAGCTTTTCTCATTTATCTCGATCTCTACCTCTGTATGCATGTCTGTCACTCTTTTACTCTATGATTACTAATGCCAATATTGCTAGCAATTTTTAGTTTGTGTATATGTCTTCTCCCTCACTCATTTCATTAAACACCATATATATATCCAGTGGCTAGAGGGCTTGGTGTCCTCCTGGACCCTTTCTTTCACTTTACACCACCTTTGTCAGAAAATCCTGTTGGCTTTTCTTTTGAAATATATCCATAATCCAGGCACTTCTCGCAGTCTCCCTGAGGTCTGAACCACCACCATCTTTTCTCACCCAGCTAGTGCAACAACCTCCTGATGGCCTTTCCTGCTCTCACTGGCAGTCTGTTCTTAGCACAGCAGCCCAAGAGCCTTTTTTAAAACCTGAGCCAGATTCTGTTTTCCATGTGTTCAAAAACCTGGATTTCTCATTTCACTCATGATAGAAGTTCAAGTTCTTACAATGGCCCACAAGGATCTTGGGAGCTGAATCCCAGATAAGCCCCATGACTCCATCTCTCACTCTTATCCCTCCTCACTGTGCTGTCACACCAGCCTCCTGGCTTCCTTGGGTAAGCCATGCCCATCCTATCTTGGGGCCTTTGCTCTGGGTCCCTTTGCCTGGTAGCTGACCTTAGCTCACTTTCTTCTTCAAGACTTTGATCAGTGTTTATCTCCTCCATGGGGTCTACTTTGACCTCCCAATCTAATGCTGCATCCTGACCTCTAACCCATAAGGGATCCTTGATACATTTTCAAGTAGCGTTTCTCACTATCTAACATACAGCATCCAGTAATTAGTTACTATGTGTCTTGATTTTTGCATGCCTCCTCCACCAAGCATATTTGATGATAGTTGCTTATCCCTAAACTTTAGGTTCTGGATACCATCAACATCAATAACCTCACGTGATCTGTGATTCCTTTCTGAGTATGCCCTAGAGGGTTATAAGTCCTAGAACAGCACCTGGCTTACAGTAGGCATCTAATAAACATTTCTAGAAAAAAAAAATGAAGCTTATAGGACAAGTCCCCAAATAAGCTACAAGTTCCCGAGGTTGGCCTATGCTTCCTTAGATGTAGCACATGGCATAGGGATTATGTACAAATCAGGCTGTTTTCCCTGACTATGGAGCAGTGGAACTTATGGATTAAGGAAAAATGTGTTTCTGGGGTAATTCTTCTTTATTCATCTACTTAGATTTGGTGTATTCTTTTCTTTTTTCCCCCCAAGTTTTATTTATTTATTTTTTATCATACTTTAGATTCTGGAGTATATGTGCAGTGTGTTATTTTGTTATTCCATTATCAAAACTTCGTTTTAGAGTATGGTTTGCATCTTGCAGGGCAGAATTCAGATGTTCTCTCTCAGGCACTTGAGGGCACCTGCTGACCAACTGGGTCTGAGCAGTGCAGGATGTGACACCTGCCTCCTACCTTTCTACCAGGCTCTGGATAGCATGTCTCTTGCTGTCCTCTCTCCCTTGATTCATGGGAAACTCTAGATCAGCACTATCCCACACAGATGTAATGAGAACCATGTAGTCATTTAAACATTTTTAATAAGAAACAGGTGAGACTAATTTTAATAATAAATTGTACTTAACCTAGCATGTGCAAAATATCCTATCTGCATATAATCAATGTAACAATTTTAGTGAGCTCTTTTATTTTTTGTTTTTTCATACTATCTTCAAGATCTGGTGTGTATTTTGCACTTACAGTCAATTCAGATTGGTCATCGACGAAATGCTCCATAGCTACATTTAGCTTGTGGATCCCTCTATATTCTTACGGTTTGGTTGTATTTATTCATAAATGCTCTCCCAGAGTAGCAGTTGGTTCTTCATCTCCATTCCACCTCCCAACCCAAGGATAGAAGCACCCAGTTTCCTTTAAACTGTTGTTGATTGCTTTGCTTGACTATGTAATCATCGTTACTGTCTCATTATGAAAATGTTTCTGCAGTTATTCAGGCTTCCCTTCGTTCGTATTGTCTGAAAGACCCCATCCCATTGTCACGCAGGTGTTACACTTCAGTGAGTTTTCCCAGAATGAAAGCAAAGAACCTGACCCCTGTCTGAAAAGCAACAAACAAAACGTGCTGGCTGACAGCTCCCTGGAGGGGCAGAAAAAAGCGGCAGAACCTCTGGATCAGCAGGTGAGCTGCCGCTGTAAACTCTCGCCCTTCGTATTTACAGACTGCTTATTGTGGCCTTAGGATATTTGGCGATAGTTGCTTATCCCCTAACATTAGGTTCTGGATGCCATCAACAGCAATAACCCCATGTGATCTGTGATTCCTTTCTGAGTACGCATCTCGGATGTCCTTGGCTATGCTAGTTTCCTAAAGAGTAGGATTTGGTATCTTCTGCTTCTGATAAAGAAATCTAGATCATTACCCTGTCACTCATCTGCTTCTACAGGCCACAGGGCCCCAACACAGAGCATGGTAGAATATGAAAGGGTAAGGGGTAGGGTCATCTGTGGAATTCTTCCTGTCTCCAGCCACCTCTGCTTGTTCCATTTTGTGCTGAAATCTGTACTGACAGACAAAACTTTTATTGGCTGCCTCATCCCAGTAGGAGGAAAGATATTCTCCAGGTATATGACCCCCTACCTTAGAATGTTTAAGAGGAGGGTGGAGCGATGATTGTCTTTTTTTTTTCCACTGAGACAAAGTCTCACTCTGTCGCCCAGGCTGGAGGGCAATGATGCAATCTTGGCTCACTGCAACCCCTGCTTGCTAGGTTTAAGCAATTCTCCTGCTTCAGCCTCCAGAGTAGCTAAGATTACAGGCATGAGCCACTGTGCCTGGCCTCTTTTGTCTTTTTAAATACAAATAAAATCAGGAGACAGGCACAGTGGCTCATGCTTGTAACCCGAGCACTTTGGGAGGCCGATCCACAGGTGGATCACGAGGTCAAGAGATTGAGACCATCCTGGCCAACATGGCGAAACCCTGTCCTTACTAAAAATATAAAAATTAGCTGGGTGTGGTGGCACATGCCTGTGGTCCCAGTTACTCAGGAGACTGAGGCGGGAGAATCGCTTGAACCTGGGAGGCAGAGGTTGCAGTAAGCTGAGATTGTGCCACTGTACTCGAGCCTGGGCGATAGAGCAAGACTCAACAAAAAGAAAGAAAGAAAGAAAGAAAAAAAAAATCAGGGTATGTCAGTATGAAATATAGTGAGTGCTGCTGAGTTCCCCAGACATTTTTTCCTGGATAATCTTGATATAGATGCAGGAGCCATAGTCTTCCACTGGGACCACTTCTCGCCCTCCATTCCTACGTTCTTTCCAGCTCACTACCCCTGCATGGTAGCACAGACAACTGACATCTCACTGAGGAGCTCTATCTTGCTTCTGTACAAAACACCCATCCATTACTGGTGTTTAGCTCTTTCAATAGACGCAGTGAAGGTCACATTTTGTTTCTTCTTTCCTTAGGATGAGTCCTTAAACAATGAGAGCGGACTGCTTAGCTGCTACTTTGGGCAGCTTCTCTCCAAATTAGATAGGATCAAGACTGATTACACCCTGAGTATTGCCAACAGGCTTTATGGAGAGCGGGAATTCCCAATCCGTCAGGTGAGTTGCACATAAATGGTGACTAAAGCTACCCTGTAGCATACTATTTAAAAATCAGGGAGTCGCTGGGTTACTCACCTGCCATCTAGAACACAAACCTCTTTAACAGGATGATGTGCTGTGGACTGGTGAGGTGTCCAGGACCACCCTCTTTCAGTCCCACACTTTTGTTCTCTTCTTCCCAGTGTTCAACATGAGCAATTTATGAGGCCCATTGTGGGTGGAATAGAGGGAGTGGAGGAGGGCTGTGTGAGTAATGGAGCCTTTGGAGCACGTGTGGGCTTGGTAATAGCACCCTCTCTTGACTGTCTTCCCAGTCAAGGTGACTGGTTGCTGCACTTCTCTCTCCCTTATCTGTTGGGTTGCCCCCAAGATGTTTCTCTAGAATCTCCTTTTGTGCCAGGATCAGGCTACCCCCACAATGCAATTGTGTTCACTGTGCTCTTTTGAGAGTCGGGTGGCAGGAGAAGATGGCATTTGGCATTTGGAGCTGAAAGCACAGGACTCGCCTCTGTGGCTAAACAGCTTTGTACCTAGAACAAACTGTGTCTCCATCTGGGCTTCAGTTTCCTCTTGAATCACTGGAAGGAGCCATGTGCTAAACAATAAATGTGGGGAATATGACCAATGGCAAAGACGTGACATGGCTGGTTAGTGCAGGACTAGCCAGGGGTCGCACGGCTTCCTTTGGCTAAAATAAGTGTGTTCCCTTGCAATGAAAATAAGACTTTTCATACTGGGGTTTTAAAAACGAGTTTTTTAATGAGATATAAATTCACATGTTAAACAATTTACCTATTAAAAGTATATAAACCAATGAGCTTGCTATATTATGTTACCGACTTTTTCAAATTATGGTAAAATACATATAAAATTTACCATTTTAACCACGTTTATGTGTACATCTCAGTGGCATTAGTTACATTCAAAATGCTGCATAACGATCACCCTATATATTTCTGGAACTTTTTTTTTCATCACTCCAAACAGAAGCTCTGCAACTATTAAGCAGGTGGTGAATTCTTATAAACAGAAGCATTTTCCAGCCAAGTCTTTCAAGTTACCTGATATTTACCTTGTGATGGCTCCACAGATGGGTTGTTCAAATAAAAGGATATCCAGTAGGAAAGGCTTGTCTGGCTGTAAGTATAGACGGTTCATGAATAGTGTTTTATATCCTCATTTGTCACCATGGAAACCGACATGTCTCTGGCTAGTGTAAGACTGGGGATGGATAGACACTGTTAGGCCTGTCCGTGCGATGTGAAGTGACCAGGCTCATCCTTCTTGGGAGGCTTCTCAGGAGGGCCTTGCTCCTAACTACAAGCATCATTGCCTGATTTTATTGCACTGTTTCCCTTTTCTTCCAATTGAACAGGAATACTTAGATAGTGTGATTAAATTTTACCACACGACGATTGAAAGTGTTGATTTCCGAAAAAACGCTGAAAAATCCAGACAAGGGATTAACTTCTGGGTCGAAAGTCAATCCCAAGGTAAGAAAGCCCGAAAGTGTGGGAGGTGGTGCTGGTTTCTGTTTAAAAGAAAATCGGTCTGCCCAGCTTTGCAGATTGCTGGTCTGTTGCGGGCCAGAGGTTCGCATATGTGGACTATGTTCAAAGCACAGTTTGCAGAATGAGATACCGTCTCACACCAGTCAGAATGACTATTATTAAAAAGTTAAAAAACAACAGATTCTGGCAAGGCTGCAGAGAAAAGGGGAACACTTCTACACTATTGGTGGGATTGTAAATTAGCCATTGTGGAAAGCGGTTTGGAAATTTCTCAAAGAAGTGAAAACAAAGCTATCATTTGACCCAGCAATCACATTACTTGGTATATATCCAAAAAACATAGAACATTCTACCAAAAATACATATGCACTCATGTTAGTCACTACGTTATTCACAAAAGCAAAGACGTGGAGTTAACCTAAGTGCCCATCAATGGTGGACTGGGTAAAGAAAATGTGGTACATACATCCCACGGAATACTGCACAATCATAAAAAAGAATGAAATCATGTCCTTTGAGGTAATATGGATGGAAACGGAGGCCATAATCCTGTGAATTAACACAGGAACAGAAAAGCAAATAGTGCGTGTTCTCACTTATAAGTGGGAGCTAAACATTGAGGACACATGGGCATAAATATGGGAAGGAACAACGGACCCTGCAGATACTACCAGGGGCAGGGAGGGAAAGAGAGGATTGGGCTGAAAAAACTACCTGTTGGGTACTGTGCCTACTCCCTGAGTGCAATATACCCACATAAGAAGCCTGCACGTGTACTCCCTGTATCTAAAATAACAGTTGAAATTTTAAAGAAACAGAACAAAAAAGCATGGTCTGAAAAGCATCCAACAGTTAAACTGCTTAGATATTGCTGTTATTTAATGTTGCTATTTTGGTCTCTGGTCTTACTGGTATTGGGTGGGAAAGAAGGGAGGAGACCAGCCTCACTGGTGCTGATTTTCTAGGTGGGGCTTAGAGAATGCTCCCTTCTGCCAGTGCCTGTGTGAATCTGAAAAACAGAATAAACTCTTTCCTGAAGGCATAAAGTTAGTGACCTGAAGGGTCAGCTCAGGCTGCTGGACACAGACTAGGCCCTTTTTTGATCACAGTTGTGGAGATGGCAGAGATGTTTGCGTGCAGTGAAAAGTTTGGAGCTCATGAGAGAGCGCGGGTAGTGCACTCACTGCCTCTCCTGCCTTCAGAGCGAGACTGTGACCCCAGGCTTTTGCACAAGTTCTGAGTGACTGGAGACCGGGAAAGGATAGCTGACTTATTTTAGGCTCTCTTCGGTACCAGTGGGACACTTTCTATCCCTCTCTTCCATTTGGTGACTTTCTCTCCCTGTCTGTTTTTCTCACACTGACTTTGGGATGGGATACCCCTGTGTGGCCTTTCCTTGGAAGAAGTCTCTAAATTCCAAAATTATTGCTTCTTTCTTCTTTCACATGCCACAAAAATGACCATCCCTTCAATGCTCTACTTAGCTGTCAAAAGGAAAGCAATTCATTAAAAAAAAAGTTCATATTAAGGCCTGGATATGTACTTTCCCCTTAGTGAGTTAACTCCTCCAGAGTATTTTTAAACATAGATGATTAAACATAGAGTAGAGCTCTTCTTGACATGGAAGATCTTTTCTTCTTAAGACATCTGCAGGCATTCAAGTAACTGGAGATTTGGCAGTTTGAGTCAGAAAAGGGTATACCCTGAAGATGGGCTATTGCCTGCTAGCTTGGGGCTTTTCAAGTTGGCCTTAGGGCTGTGGAAGGAGCCCTAGAGCTGACCCCAAAGGTGGAAGGCCTGAGGACCTCCTCCCACCAGTCTTACTGCTTGGCTGTGTGACTTCAGCTCTTCCTGGATGCAATGTATTCTTCTGTGAAGAGGGTATAACGACTCCTCCTTCTCACGATTAATGTGGGATGGAATGAGAAAGGGAATGTGAAAGTACCTATAAAATAGATTTCATGTCATGGCCTAGCACATTTATGTGTATTTTTGTTTATATGTGAGCACATATCTTATGCTATGTTGAGTGCTTGAGACAGGAAGTTTATATTGCGGTTCTTTGTTCTCAAGGGAGCTTATCATATTGTCAGATGACTGAATATATAATTTCAATGATAAACCATAGTATAAGATGTGTAATGACAAGTTCCAAACACAAGCAATACAAGGAATCAAAAAAGATTCCTTCTGTTACAGTGCTGTGATTGGACTCCTACCGGGTGGAGCGAGAGGGTCTCTCCCCTGCCCCATCACCCCCTCTCTTATGTCCATCCAGGACTATGAATTAATCTTCTTAGGTTAGTTCTTGAACAAGACACTCCCCAGTCTTGGGGGTCATAAGCTGCATTGAAAAATGTTACTGGCTGGGTGTGGTGGCTCATGCCTGTAATACCAGCACTCTGGGAGGCCAAGGGGGGCGAATCACCTGAGGTCAGGAGTTTAAGACCAGCCTGGCCAACATGGTGAAACACCGTCTCTACTAAAAATAAAAAAAAAAATTGGCCAGGCATGGTGGTGAGTGCCTGTAATCCCAGCTCCTTGGGAGGCTGAGGCAGGAGAATCATTGGAACCCGGAGGGTGGAGGTTGCAGTGATCCAGGATCACACCATTGCACTCCAGCCTGGGAGACAAGAGCGAAACTCTCTCTCTCAAAAAAAAAAAAAAAAAAAAATTATCTACATGAATACTTTTGATACAATTCATTCTCAGGATATTCTCTGGGATCTCTTTTTAGGTAAAATCAAGGAACTTTTCAGCAAGGACACTATTAATGCGGACACTGTGCTGGTACTGGTGAATGCTGTTTACTTCAAGGCCAAATGGGAAAAATATTTTGACTGTGAACACACAGTGGATGCACCCTTCTGTCTAAATGCGGTACTGTTTCAGGACTTACGGTTTTCTAGCTATCCAACTCATAATTTCCACTAGGCAATATGCATACTCAAAAAGTGACAGCTTACATTTACAATAAGAACACTTTTCATTGATAAGAACCCGTACCTGAATTTCACTGAGCATTTTTTGTGCCAAGTGCGTCCAGTACTGAATATTTTTCCATTTGTTATTTCATTTGTTCCCCCAAAGAGCATTATGAGATGGGTGTTATTATGATTTTCACTTAGGATTTGAGACATAAAATGGAAAGGCTAAGTTAGTTAGCCAGATTCATGCATTAGGATTCAATCTGTGAGCATTTGCCCAGAAATCTGTGTCCTAAGCTAGTAGATTTAGAACAGGAGGAAATGGAAAGGGTCGGGTCCCACCCACCCACTTGTCAGCCGGCTAGCTTATTATTGGAGATGCATTTTTCTCTCAAGTACTGAATATCCCCATCTGCAGATTGATGACCCCTCACCCCCCACCTTGATGTTATTGTGAGATTTAAGGTGCCTGGGTTTGTACCTTCCCTCTGAAGGAGCAAGTGTTGTTCTCCCTTAACCATGGCTCCCCTTGGCGCTCTGTGGCAGTGTCATCCAGGCCAGATGGCATGGGGTGGTGTGAGACCAGCAGGCTGGACTGGGGCAGGCCCTGCAGGGGGTCAGTTGGCAGGCCGTGGTTCTGCTGACTTAGCAGTGGCCATGCTTTGATGGTAAGTCTACCAATCATCATCTTGGAAGCTGAAGAACTGATTAAAAACATGAAAAGGGCCAGGCATGGGGGCTCACACATGTAATCCCAGTATTTTGGGAGGCTGAGGAGGAAGGATCACTTGAGACCAGGAGTTTGAGGCCAGCCTGGGCAACATAGAGAGAGCCTGTCTCTACAAAAAATGAAAGAAATTAGCCAGGTATGATGGTCTGTGCTTGTAGTCCCAGCTAGTCAGGAAGCTGAGGTGGGAGGATTACCTGAGCCCAGGAAAGTGAGGCTGCAGTGAGCTGCAGTGGCACCACTGCACTCCAGCCTATGTAACAGAGCAAGACCCTGCCTCAAAAACAAGCAAACACCCCTGCCTACCCACTCCACAACAGCAACGAAAAAGACACGGAAAGACAGCGTTGGCAAAGTAAGGCCCATGGATGAATGGGCAGACTTTTGTAGGCTGGATCCCTGGGGTGGCTCAGGACTGACTACTGGAGACCCTTCTCATCTTTAGAAATCCCTGTCCTCGGTGAGACTGGGGCCATATGAATTTGGGAGCTTCCCATAGCCCTCCTGTGACTTCCTACCTTGTCTACTGCAGAATGAAAAGAAGAATGTGAAGATGATGATGCAAAAAGGCCTCTATAGAATTGGCTTCATAGAGGAGCTGAAGGCACAGATCCTGGAAATGAGGTATACCAAGGGGAAGCTCAGCATGTTCGTGCTGCTGCCGTCCCACTCCGAAGATAACTTGAAGGGTCTGGAAGAGGTAATTCTTCATTTCTACATCTCTATAAATTATTTAACAATAGATCTTTAGAGAACAACATGGTTCTACCCTCTCCCAAGGAAATGCTGCATCTCACCTGTCAGAGACATCAAATAATATATAAGAATCTGAATTAGATTAGATATGTATTCCTCATTTGTTTAGAATTAAACAAATGCCAGAAATATTGGGATTGGAGTTTCTTCTTTAATCTCATAGCTCTCTGCAACTGTTTCAGCAAGACAAGGAATCTGGGTTCTAAGTAACTTGAGAAGTTTTCAAGCTTTTCCTTTTCTATGAATATCCTGACTTCTGGCCTCTTACTCATACCATTTTTCTATAGCTCAGTTAAAGACCCGTTGGCTGAATCCTGTTTCTGGGAACATGTACCTTGACAGAAGTATAGATAGTGGCAACAGAATAGATTGTTTGTGAGGTAGGAATTAATAAAGGCTGGAGAAGCTCAGCTACATATTGCCCAAGGGGGTAAAGAGATAAAAGAAAGAGACAAAGTGAGAGAGAAATACCAATACAGCAGGTATAGTAGTTAGAATGTCAATAACAACCGTTATTCAGAATTGCCACGTGCTATCACTGTGTTAAGTACTTTATATACATGATTTTTGTTAATGTTTGCAAGAACTTAATTGTATTATCTCTATTTTATGGAAGAGGAAATTTAACTTCAGGAAATTATGACTTGGCCACAGCACCCAATTAATAGACTGAGCTTTGCTGGGCTTTGAACACTTGTCTGTCAAACACCAAAGCATGCTGGGACCTGAGTTGTCCCATATCTTCTTTTAAAGAAGAAACATATTGGCTTGAAGTTTCAAATGAAATCAGACTATGCGATCGATCCAAGATGGCCGACCACTAAAAGCTCAGGATCGTAGCTCCCAGTGAAAGCTCAGAGAACGAGACGACGCCACACTTTTAGACGAATTTTCGTCACTCACCGATCAGCCGATTCCCAGTGGAGGAGCCCCACGGGTCGCCAGCGCGACTCTTGTGGCCGCTGCAGCGGTTTTGCCAGCGTCTCGGCACAGCAGCTCTTCATGCAGAGCCAACGGGACTGCTTCCCCTACTGACGGGAGTTTGGAGCTCCGGGAAGTCAGAGCCGCTTGTTGCGGACTCAAGAGGGAAGCCAGACCAGAGATTCCCGGGCAGAAGAGCACCATCAGTCTTATTGCTGCTGTTTAGGCTGCCACAGTGGGTTGCTCGGATCCCAGCACTGGGAATCAATAAGTCGGACGTTGACTCAGAAACCTAATTAGAAAGGCGGGTCATCTACACTGAAGGGAAAAAAACAGCCTAAGAAGGCCGAGTATACTCAAAATCAGAACCCATCAGCAACGGAACAAGCCCTGATGGAAAAGGACTCATCAGCAACCGAACAAGCCCTGATGGAAAAGGACTCATCAGTAACGGAACAAGCCCTAATGGAAAAGGACTGTGTTTCATTATCTGAAGTAGGCTTTAAAAGGTGGATGATAAGAAACTTCTGGGAGTTAAAGGAACTTGTTCTAACCCAATGTAAAGAAACTAAGAACTTGGAAAAAAGGTTAGATGAAATGTTGAAAAGAATAGACAATATAGAGAGGAATACAAATGAACTTATGGAGTTGAAAAATACAACACGAGAACTTAGTGAAATACGTACAAGCTTAAACAGCTGAATGGATCAAGCAGAAGAAAGGGTATCAGAGGTCGAAGACCAACTTAATGAAACAAAACGACAAGACAAGAATAGAGAAAAAAGGATAAAAAGGAATGAGCAAAGTCTCCAAGCAATATGGGACTATGTGAAAAGACCTAATATACGCTTGATTGGTGTACCTGAATGTGACGGAGAGAATGAATTCAAGCTGGAAAATACTCTCCAGGACATTATCCAGGAAAATTTTCCTAATTTAGCAAAGCAGGACACTATTCAACCCCAGGCAATACAGAGAACACCACAAAGATATTCCTCAAGAAGACCAACCCCAAGGCACATAATCGTTAGATTCACCAAGATCGAAATGAAGGAGAAAATATTAAGGGCAGCCAGAGAGAAAGATCAAGTTACCCATAAAGGTAAGCCTATTAGGCTTACAGCAGATCTCTCAACGGAAACCCTACAAGCTAGAAGAGAGTGGGGGCCAATATTCAATATACTTAATCAACAGAACTTTCAGCCCAGAATTTCATATCCTGCCAATTTAAGCTTTACATTTGAAGGAAAAATAAAATCTTTTATGAACAAGCAAGTACTCAGAGATTTTATTACCACCAGGCCTGCTTTACAAGAACTTCTAAAAGAAGCAGAAAGGAACAACCAGTATGACCCTTTCTAAAAATACTCCAAAAAGTGAAGAGCATTAACATAAAGAAGAATTTTTATCAACGAAAGGACAAAATAGCCAGTTAATATCAAATGGCAGCAACCCTAAATTTAAATCGACCTAATCTCCCAATCAAAAGATACAGACAAAATCTAACGGTATATCCAAAGATATACATAGACTCAAAATAAAGGGTTGGAAAAAAAAAACATACCAACCAAATGGAGAGCAAAAATAACTAAATACAAAGCAGGAGTTGCAATTTTCACATTTGACAAAATAGATTTCAAAGCTACAAGGATACAAGGGTAAAAGGATTAGTGTAATAATAAGAGATCTTAACACCCAGATACGTAAGACCCATAATGAGATTTAGATTCAACGAGACAGAAAATTGATAACGATATCCGGGACTGGAACTAAGATCCAGAACAAATAAACTCAATAGAGCTCTCCATTTTAAACACACAAAATATACATTATCCACAAAATCTAACGATATATCTAAAGATATACAAAGACTCAAAACAAGGGGATGGAAAAAAACTCACCAACCAAATGGAGAGCAAAAATAAATAAATAAAAAGCAGGAGTTGCAATTCTCACACTTAATAAAATAGATTTCAAAGCTACAAGGATGCAAGGGTAAAAGGATTAATGTAACAATAAGAGATCTTAACACCCAGATACATAAGACACATAATGAGATTTAGATTCAACGAGACAACAAATTGATAACGATATCCAGGACTTGAACTCAGAGCCAGAACAAATAAACACAATAGAGGTCTCCATTTTAAACACATAAAATATGCATTAACCACTTTAAACACTCAAAATATTGATCGGCCATTATTGAAACCCATTTTAGGAGTGAAGTAATATTCCTTTTTCCCTCTTTTTCTTTTTTTCCCCTTCTTTTTCTCTTTTTCCCTCAAAAAAAAAAAAAAAAAGAATTCATTGAATATGTGCTTCTACGAAAAAAAAAAAAAAAAAAAGAAATCAGACTATGCTCTGGCTTAGAGAAAGGCCTTGAAATTTGTCACTGACTACTGAAGTGGACTCAGTCACTTTGAAGTAATTGGGGGATTCTTTGTGCTCTCATAATCTGATCTTAAATATTATTTCTTTCCTCTTGTAGCTTGAAAGACAAATTACCTATGAAAAAATAGCGGCCTGGAGTAGCTCAGAAAACATGTCAGAAGAATCGGTGGTCCTATCCTTCCCCCAGTTCACCCTGGAAGACAGCTATGATCTCAATTCCATTTTACAAGACATGGGCATTACGGATATCTTTGATGAAACGAGGGCTGATTTTACTGGAATCTCTCCAAGTCCCAATTTGTACTTGTCAAAAATTATGCACAAAACTTTTGTGGAGGTGGATGAAAACGGCACCCAGGCAGCTGCAGCCACAGGGGCTGCTTTCGAGGGAAGGTCCTTATCATCTTGGGTGGAGTTTAATGCCAACCACCCTTTTCTGTTTTTCATCAGACACAACAAAACCCAAACCATTCTCTTTTATGGCAGGGTCTGCTCTCCCTAAAGTGGGCATGCTGGTCTAATACATTGGAGCTGGAGGAAAATATCAATACAGTCTTCCTCTGGCGTAACATGGGCACTTAAGTTTTTGGTAATATCTAAAACATCCCCTCCATCCTCCAGCCATCAGCCTGTGCTTATCTTGATCTTTCTGTCACCCTACAGCTTATTTTCTTCTGAGTCTGTTAGTATTGAAGGGCTGTTGTTCTCTACCCTAAACTTTCAAGCATATAAATTCACCCTCTGTGACCTGAAGGTCAGCACAATTCAGAACAGTACCTACCTCCTTTTGAAGGAATCCTAAAAGTTCAGGTCATTAGATCATTTCTAAGAGATGGCAAACTCAGAAGCCACTTTAACATGGCTGGCGAGAGGACATGTGTGACTGGAATGTGTTCGGAAACTTAGCTCTGTCTCTGGGGTGGTTATAGTCGTGGTCATCACTGGGCAAGATGCACTATTCTTCTCTGACACCCACTGCATGGAAGATGTCCTGTGAGGTCTTTTCATCTAGGAGAAGGTAGGGCTTGGGTGTATTTAACTGATAGCTCAAAGATGTATGCATGCCCCAACCAGCACTCATTTTGCATAGAGCAGGGGAATGATATTTGTCCTGTGATTTTGACACTGACCCAGGAAAGTGGCCAGTGGACATCAAGGAGGTTTGTCTCAGTTTTACTTATCAAGTCCCCCAACATTGTCATCAAACACTTCCCTCTGTCTCTCCTCCCCTTTACTCCAAGAATTCCCACCTGTGGCTAGTTACTCTTATGCACCCAGCACTGTCAGCATGGAGAGGAGTGCTACTGTGGACTGCTGGTCTCCCTGCTACCCTCTCTTTGCCTTCTGGCCACATGGACTTCTGTGTCTTTCCGGAGGTCGCATGCCAGACCACACGGTGAGACCAGGCTTAAGCCTGGGCACGATATCCATAGAAACACTTGTTGGCTGGGCATGGTAGCTCACGCCTCTAATCCCGGCACTTCTTGGGAGGCCGAGTCAGGTGGATCACTTAAGTCCAGGAATTCAAGACCAGCCTGGGCAGCATATTGAAACCCTGACTCTACAAAAAATAAAAAAATTAGCTGGGAACAGTGGTGTGCACCTGTAGTCCCAGCTACTTGGGAGGTTAAGGTGGGAAGATTGTTTGAGCCCTGGAGGCAGAGGCTGCAGTGAGTTGAGATGGTACCATTGCACTCCAGCCTGGATGACAGAGCAAGACCTTGCCTCAAGAAAAGCCAAAAAGCCAAAACAAAACCTGAAACCATTGTCAAGAAGGCCATTGGCCTCATCTCAAGCTCTAGTCTACTGAAGTCCTGACCCCTGAGTGTTCCTACTCATGGACTCAGGGCCTCTGTTCCCTGGTGTGGCCAACTGAATTCTTAATTTCTGCCTTACCTGAGTGTTCTGCCATGACCACCAACATGTCTGACTCACGTCTCTTTGGAGTCAGTCTCTTTCCTATTGAGGTGGACTTCAGGTCTTGCTTGTGGCTCAGTTTCCCTGGCCTGCCTTGTGGCTGTCCTCCTTCCAGCTGCCACCATGTCATTCAGCATGGCCACAGCAGTTTTTTGGGGAGCAGGTGAATCACACCTGCTCTTGTGCCAGCCTCCTCTCCCTTTTCTCGCATGCCCAGTGATTTCTTTGTGCTTTGAGAGACAAGTTTCATGTTCTCCATACAATCTTCTCATTGTTGAAGCTCACTTACAACCTAAAACAATTTGTTGTTGGTAATGTGAGGCAGTTTGAGGCAGTGCCTTTTCCAGAATGCATGTCCCATGGGTCAAATTTATTTCAGATATCCAAAAACTTCGTGTCCCCTGTGGTTCATTTTGGGGTTAATGTTTTGGGGGCCGTATCCGTGTCTGACTTGCCATCACTGTCGACACCGAGCTGGAAACCATGACCTGTATATAGGCCTGCAGTGTCAGGTAATTGTTTTGTTCTTGTTCTATTACTTGGTAAACACATTTTTTGGTTTATATTGGGATTTCTCATATTTTGAAGCATGAGAAGGAGAATGTACCTATTTAAAATAATGAGGAAAATTAAAAATCTTCAATCTTTATGTAAGTTAGTGAACATTCTTTACTAACCTTTGATTGACTAAAAAATTTCTTCTGCATGAATAAAGCATTTTTATTAGTTAAAATATATATGATGTGTTGACAACTGATTTTTTTAGGGATATAAATTTAACTTTAAAATTTTTCATCCAAAAATATAAAAATACATAATCCATGAAACTAACAATTCATCTCAGTTACAGAAAAAATGCATCTTACCCCAGTAATAATTTATCACAACTTTCCATCATAATTACATATGAAGGCATATAAAAAGGATGAAACTCACAATGCTAAAACTGAAGAGTGATAGCCAGCTGATCATCAGAATATAAAAGAAATTTCTGCCAACTACAAGTTTTTCTTTTTCTTTTTTTCTTTAGGATGGAATCTTTGTAAACAAAGTTGCTGGGAAGTTACACACACACATATACACGCACACTCACACACACACACAAAGATTGAGTCTTGCACTGTTGCCCAGGCTGGTGTGCAGTGGTGCAGTCTTGGTTCACTGCAACTGCTGCCTCCTGGATTCAAGTGATTCTCAAGCCTCAGCCTTCTTAGTAGCAGGGATTACAGTCACCTGCCACCACGACCAGCTAATTTTTGTATTTTAAATAGAGACAGGGTTTCACCATGTTGGCCAGGCTGGCCTCAAACTCCTGGCCTCAAGTGATCTGCCTGCCTTGGCATCCCAAAGTGCTGGGTTTACAGGCGTCAGCCACAATGCCTGGCCCCTGCTGACTGCAAGTTAATGAGGCTGGGTGGTGAGGCATCATTGACAGGTCACCTGCATCCCATCGCCAGTGAGTCAGTCTGCTTGTTTCCTCCCATTGCTGCCTTCCTCTGAGTTCAGAAACACAAAGATCTCTCCCAACCTGAATTCTGGACATCTATCCCTCTACTTTATACTTGCTGCTTTCCTCCACCCTCTGTCTTTCTTATTAGTTTGTTTTTTTCTGCAGTCAGTTGAAGACTGAATGGCTCCCCAGTCATGACTTGGAAGAAGGGGAGGACAGGCATTTGTTCCTTCCATCCAAGGCAGTTTAGTTATCACAAATAAAATACTTTTGGTGAAGCCAATGGCAGGAATAGCCTTGGTGGCAGTGTTCTTGGATATTTCATCTACACCATCTGTTCAAAGTGTACCACACCCAGCCTACACAGCGAGGAGAGAATTTACCTGACTCCAGCAGAACTACACTAGATAGAAGCCTCTTAGACACTGGAAATTATGGTCCAAACAGGGAGTTCCTGACTCTTCATTTTCTTGCACCAGCAAGATTGACCCAGCAATATGGTATCCAGGGGCAGAAAGAACATGCAAGTCAATAGGCCGATATAATTGCTGGGAAACCAACCAGAGCATGATTTTAAATCACCAAGAGAATGAGCTCCTCCCTTCCTCAGTTTAAAGTTTCCTCCATATAGCAATGTTGACAGGTAAAACAGATGACGTAATGTAGATTTGGAAACAATTGTTTCACTTATGCTGACTGTAAATACTCTGGTAAGAGAACCATGGACATATAGTACTCAACAGGCTCCATGATACTTTTTAGTTCACAGAATCTATATGTTCAATTGCGTTTCAATTTAAATCCTTCGTATATATAACTTCATACGTTGTCTAGTGCATAGTCCTCAAACTCTTCTGTGGTTTTTTTCCTTGAACTGGGACAAGCCAGAACATGTGTTGCTTCATTTTGAATTGGTGTTTACTGCTTTTGCATGCTGGTGTTTTAAAAAATTACAATATCATTAACCTGAGGCAGAGGTCCAATTGGAGCAACAGGGTGAGGAAACTCGTGCAGTTGTCTTGGTGGATTTCTTTGTCCACGGTTAAATGCCAACTTCAAATGTGTTCTTCATCCACACCACTCATCTTGCATTCTTAGTTTTCCAAATTCATTTTATTTTCCTTTTACTCAATTAAAATAATCCAATTTTTTTACTCAATAAAAACAGAAAATATCCCCAAATGTGCAAACTTAAGTATCGTAAGCATATTAATATACTTATTAAGCATATTAACTTTAATATTAAGCATATTAACATTAATATAGTCATAGTATTTATATTAAGCATAATATACACTTAACATTTACTTTATAAATGCTCATATTTTAATACAATAAATTTCCCCTTTAAATAATGTTTTCCTTCATATGCATCAACAAAGTTTTAGCTACAGATTGGTAAAAAAGATTTAAAAAGCAATCCAGGGCACAACAGTTGGGCTGAGAAACTCACACACCCTTTGTTGACACACGTAGGTTCTGAATAGACCATTCCATATTCAAGATTAAATAAATGGGAAAAAAGTATAAGGTATGAAAGAGATAAATGCCATATAAGAAGAGACATCTATTTCTATGTTATAAATGGGAGAGAGAGAAAGGACAGAGAGAGAGAGAGGAGAGACTGGCTTCATAAAATGATTTACAGAAAGAATTGGAAGAAAAACGTTTGGGCATAATTAATAGGGTCTAAGAAGACACAAAATCTACAGAATTGAAGTGCATGCCATGAAGATAAACTCTAAGATGTGAAAAAGCTATATGAGACAAAAATAGACCACTAGGGGAACCAAAAAACGCAATAGATGCAATAGAAGAATTTAGTGTTTAAAGTCAATACAGAAGCAAAACTGACACACTGGAAAATTTAGTTAGTGATGAATTTAGTTAGTTAGGGTGTTTTGGAGTATGTCTGTTAGAAATGGATAGGAAATAATAAGACAGAAGTTGGCAGATATAAAGAGAGAATAAACCCCAAAATTATGGTGTTTCTCAGGAAAAAAGAAGATTAATTGGCATAAAGTTAACAATCCAAGACACGATAGAAGAAAACCACAGTCACAGGATCATACTGAATGATTCCTCCTCTCCCTGCAGAGCAAAACTAGAAATGGTAAAAAACTTTAAAAGATTGAGAAAGTAATCCTATCAGCATCGGGGCAAAAAAAGAAGTAGTTATACTGTATAAAGGATAAAAAAAATCAGAAGGGCATCAAACTTTTTTTTTTGTACAAAATTTCTGAAGATAGTGAAACTTAATGTGCAGATCTGAGGGAAAATACATGATTACAGAATTTCATATCTAGGCAGGTTGGTTTGTGTGCACATGGAACAGAAAACCATTCTCAGATCGATTTTGCTGTACCTGAGTGCAGATATATTTCATCTTTAGCTCCTGGCACCATGCTATAAACATCACAGGAATTAAAACTAAATTCATGTTGTTTTGAGTGGGATCCAATGTAGTCAAAGACTTAAAAAGCTAGTGTATTAATCCATTTCATACTGCTAATAAGGACATACCCCAAATACTAGGAGGCATAAGTAGAAGAAGAAATGGAAAAATCTGCAAAATAGTAAATAACTTTAACACACCTTTTCTAGTTATCAATAATTTAAGTAGAAAAAAATTATACAGAGAAAAATTAAACTTTTATTTCACTTATTAGAAAACAGGAAATAATTAAAACGTGTAAATTGTTTTTTTCCTGGAAGTTTGAAAAGAGAACAACATGTTTCACAAGCACAAATAAAGGTGAAAATAATAAAGACGAACACAGAAATATAAGTGAAAGACAAAAGCTTAAAAAAAGAATTAGAGTCACAACAAAAAGAATAATGCCACTAACCAACAATTTAGGAACAAGAAAGGGATGTACACTATTTTGTATTTATGGACGTTTATCTTTAGGGTAAATTCCTAGGAATAGCAATGTCGAGCCAAAGTCCAATTGCATGTGCAATTTTTTTAGCTATTGCTAAATTCTGGTTATAAGAGCTCTGGTTGTAGCACTCCTATTAGCTGTCATTTGTATCTGCCTATTTCTTCACAACCACCCACAGAATGTCATAAAACTTTTGGGTGTCTGCCAAACCGATAGATAAATAATGCTATAGTAGTGTATATTTGATTTAAATTTCTCTTGTTTTGAGAGAATTTATGAACATGCAATCCCGTGTTCAGTCATTTGTATATCTTTCCCTGTCTTATGTCTGTTTTTTTTTTGACACTTATGTAGATGCATTTCTTCTTGATTTTTAAGAGATTTTTATGTGTTGGGAAGATTAACCCTTTGTATTAGTATTAGCATAAACCTTTTCTCATTTTGTCAGTTCTCTTTGACTTTGCTTATTAAATCTCCTTTAAAAACTTTTCATAAGATGAATATACCAATACTGCTTCTAAATTTTTAAAATCAGCCTTTCCCCACTTCCAGGGTTTAAGGTATTTACCCATTTTTTTTCTATTACTTGTATAGTTTCATTTTTAAAATTTAGATATCCTATTCAATTGAAGCTTACTTGGCATGAGATAAATATGAATACTATTTAAATCTTTTTCCAAATGGCTATTCAGTTCCTCCAATACTACTTATATAATAAGATGTTTTAGTACTTATTAAAACATCTATCTTGGCCAGGTGCGGTGGCTCACGCCTGTAATCCCAGCACTTTGGGAGGCCGAGGTGGGTGGATCACGAGGTCAAGAGATCGAGACCATCCTGGTCAATATGGTGAAACCCCGTCTCTACTAAAAATACAAAAAATTAGCTGGGCATGGTAGCGCGTGCCTGTAATCCCAGCTACTCAGGAGGCTGAGGCAGGAGAATTGCCTGAACTCAGGAGGCGGAGGTTGCGGTGAGCCGAGATCATGCCATTGCACTCAGCCTGGGTAACTAGAGCAAAACTCCGTCTTAAAAAAAAAAAAAAAGAAACATCTATCTAGACTGTGTGCAGTGGCTCACGCCAGTAATCCCAGCATTTTTGGAAACTGAGGCAGACAGATCACCCGAGGTTAGAAGTTAGAGACTAGCCTGGCCAACATGGTTAAACCCCATCTCTACTAAAAATACAAGAATTAGCTAAGCATAGTGGCAGCGCCTGTACTCCTAGCTGCTCAGGAGGTTGAGAAAGGAGACTCACTTGAACACAGGAGGCAGAGGTTGCAGTGAACTCAGATCGTGCTGTTGTACTCCAGCCTGGGTGACGTGGGTAAAACTGTGTCTCAACAACAACAATGACATCTAGCTTTCACTTTA